CTATCGTCAAAAGAATGGATAACTGTAGTAATGCTAGCGTTAGCAAACCTTTGCTCTACAGTAGCCTTCAGCTGCATCGCTCCTTTTTACCCTGACGAGGTAATTTTCAGCTATTTTCCTAAACACTTCATTGTTCTCTATTGTTCTGCGCGAGCGCAGCAGGATGGGACGAGTGTGCGTCTGATTAAGGATAGCCAAGTATGTCTAAGGCTGCACTCATATTTTGCGGCAGCTACCGGCGTCCACTAGCGTTCCGAGCGTCCGGCAGCGTCAGCGACTAGGTAAGAATAGATATCGATCTAGCGTCTGCCAGGTCTGTTAGCGTCCACCAGCGTTTACCAGGACCGAGGGTAGAGAGTATGGGGAAGTAGCAGTGATTAAGCGTCGTGAAATCGCGGCGTGTGCAACCGCACCGTACAGCTACATTCCACCGTACATTACATTGCATAATTCTGTGTTCTAATAGTTATTCGGTGCAGCTGCCCACGCCGTAATTCCACGACGCCCAATCCAACTGTCTGCTACCATCCTACTTCCCCACACGCCCTCTCTCGGTCGCTGGTGAACGCTGGTGGACGCTGGTAGCCGCTAGCAGACACTGGCACATACTAGATCCATAACTATGCTTCCCTAGTCCTCGAGACGCTGGTGGACGCTAGACTGATGTCTATACATTCTTAGTCGCTGGCGCTGCCGTACGCTCGAGACGCTAGTGGACGCTGGTGAAGGCTGCTGCAAAGTATGGACGCTCTAATATTTCAATGGTGAACTTTGCGTTTGTTATTTGTATAAAAAGAGCCCTTTGACCGGGAGTTATTTTCTAGCGAGAGTTGCCAATTTCATTTCGGAGTTTAACTGATTCATTGGTTTTATGGTTCTAGAGTTATCTAAAATATAATTAGTGCGACTGTCAGCCAGTAATTAGCAAATATGGCCGACACCAGCGTAAATGGGTTAGAATGTAAATGTTTTACTCAGTTTTGTACAGTAGAGGAACGTCAGCCAAAACATTCTGCCGAATATTTTTCACAGCTTCTTTAATACTTCGCCTATTTCAGGCTAAAAAGAAGGGCATGACGGAGTCCCAAACTGGAATCGTGTTCGGAATATTTGAACTCGTGATGTTCGTCATGGCGCCTATTTTCGGGAGATATGTAAGTTCAAGCTCTATTGCAGAAGATCTGTGTTTACTGAGGTGACGGAATTACACCTGAAATCCCTGAGATGTGGTAGGCTGGCTGCGTACTTCGAAATATCCCGCGACTGAGCCATTCTATGCCGTGTTCGAATGCCTCGCCTATATCTCAGGGATGAAATGAGTAGAAGGGGAGGGCAGGCCGCTACGGTCATCAAACGTTCCCCTATTTCAGTAGGTGTCATGTGGAGAACAGCGACGGGGCTGAAGTGTCACTGTTCTGTGGTCACCTCAAGTCTCACCGTCAGAGCGCTCAGCAAAAGCAAGGTGATCTCACTGGACAGGTGCCATAAATAGCGAAGGACGTCACTTGGACTACAGCCTGAAGCAGAACACCAAGAAAATGTGCTGATTTGTTTCACCAGTTTTCATCGAGCAGAAACATTGCGGAAAGGTTCAGCCGGATTGCCTCCATTTGCACCCTCGAAACCATCCATCCGACAAGGTGGTGTTCCTTCTGGGATGAGGTGAAAAACCAAGACAATCTTCAGATTAGGCCAGAAAGGCGTTGTCCAGCAGATCGTCTGATACGGTAACGTGCAGTAAGACAATGACTTCCTATGAAGGGCCTCCGATTGACGTCTTTCTGCCAGAAATAGCTTGCAGAGACCGTGAGACCGATTCAGTAAAGGAGAAACTCCACAGAACTTCAAGTCCACAAAAATCGCGTCAGTGGTGATTTCAGGCTGATGCCGGAACGTATTTTAAATATTTTTCAAGGTTCCCTTTTGTGTGCTGTTGACAGTACTACTTCATTTTCTATTCTCATTTTTTCATTCATTGATATATGCGTATTTAGATGACCCTCATCGGTTCGAAGAACATGTTCACTTTGGGTCTAGCTATAACAGGAATCACGGCTATTCTCTTCGGGTAATTTTTGCTTCGATTTATTGTATTTTCGATGAAATTTACTTCTCTAGTCCGTTAAGTGATTTTTAATACTTTCTCATGACTTAAGATCAAGCGTAACATCTCTCACAATTTCAGGTTTCTCAACTATCTTCCATCGGGTAACATTTTCTTTCTTGCTAGCCTTATGATTCGAATATTGGAAGCGGTTGGAGACGCGGCTTTTGTTACGTCGAGCTTTGCAATCTCAGCGAAATGCTTTCCGGGCAATATCGCCGTTATAGTGGTAAATTGCTTTTCTGAGTGGTACCTACTAAGACCGCATTCACACATAGCGGCAGCGTCCACCAGCGTTCCGAGCGTCCGACAGCGTCAGCGACTAGAAAAGTATAGATATCATCTAGCGTTTGCCGGCGTCTTCCAGCGTTCACCAGCGACCGGGATTACAGAGTATGGGGAAGTAGGAGGGTAGCAAGCAGCTGGATTAGCCATCGATATTGCGGCGTGTGCAACCGCACCGCCCAACTGCCAAAGCACAGAACTATGCAATTCGATGTTCGGAGTAGTGTAGCTGTGCGATGCTGATGCACAGGCGCGAGTTCACGACGGCGCCCAATCCGCTGTTTGCTACCCTCTTATTTCTCCATACTCTCTACTCCCGGACGCTGGTGGGCGCTGGCAGACACCGGTAGACGCTGGCAGACTCCAGATTGATACCTACGCTTCCCTAGCCCTCGAGATGCTGCTGCTCGCTGTTGGACGGCAGACGCTAGGTCGATATACTTTCCTAGTCGCTGAGGCTCCGGACCCTCGGAACGCTAGTGGTCGGTGGACGCTGGTGGACGCTGCGCAAAGTATGAACGCAGCCTTATCAAAACGTTTCTGTTAAGGGTGTTATGGAGACGTTTGCTGGGCTTGGTTACACAGCAGGTCCTGTGGTTGGTGGAATTCTATACGAGTTTGGTGGATTTCAAGTTCCGTTTTTGGTATTGGGTGCGATTCTCATGGTTGCTACAGCGCTTGGTTGGTGGTTGATCGAAAACTTTAAGGACGGTAGGTGCAATTCTCAGAAACTCTCTTTTTTAATAAATCGAACTGAGATTTCGGGTTTACATTCACTAGGTTTGCATTCTCTGCGCCGAAATTATTTCAAATATTCTCTGTTTCACAACATTGCTTTGTCGTGGAAGTTCAGTGCCATACTCAGGGTTTAAAGCTCTGAACATCTTTTTGTCTCCGTTCCGAGAACTTTCATGTTCTTGTGCAGAATCTGGGCCCCTCGAAATACGCAAAAAGTTGCGGAGGTACGCTCTGTGTGGCTGCCGGTTCTGTTTCAATCCAGTGATGGTTGTTTGGAATCTAAAACATTTCCTTCGATGTCTCTGTTACATATGGCAGGAATTTAAACAGTAATAGTATATAGATAGACATCCACTCTCAAAGATTCTCGAATTGAGTAGTGGCATAAGCGGAGCAAGTACGAGCAGTCACTCTAGCCCTCATCCCGTTTATTTATCAAGTGCTGTTCTCAATCTTCTGGAGCAGTAGCTTTTAAGAGTGCAACAGGGTGCGCGAGGGTGCAACTTTTTTGTTTAGTAAAGTAATATCCTCTGGAATGTATGTGCTTGCAAGAGAGATGCGACAAGCCGACTTGAGAAAACTGTCAGATTTGCTACCAATTCTAGTATACATACAACTGGCAATCTTCTAGATGATGTAGCCGGATCGAAAGGAATGATTGCAATGCTACGAATTCCGGTCATCTGGATTATGGTTTACGCTGTTGTTGTTTGCGCTATTTCGTTGTCGTTCTTGGACCCAACCCTTTCTGCCCATCTTCAATCGGTAGGTGGTTTATAGGGTCGTTAAGAGTTTTCGAGGAGGTTTGCTGTGCAGAAGAATAGAGCCATCTTTGAATACATGGGTCAGTCCGGTCTGCCGGGTGCAGTTCTGGCTCAGTTTCTATCTTGAATTCTTGCGATTGAAACAGTATTTCGGCCAAAATTTTTCAGTTCAATCTCTCGCCATCAATGATTGGTCTGATGTTCTTGCTCTGCGGCGGAATCTACACCCTATCGGCTCCCATATGGGGTCTCCTTATAGACAGGTTTCAATGTACAACAGCTGTGATGATATTTGGCTCAGCAGCCACCGTATTTTCGATGATACTTATTGGACCGTCACCGTTGTTGCCTTTCAGCAAGTACGTCGTTCTTTATTATTGGATGGTTTGAGAACTTTACTGTACTCTTTCCCCTGCATTTTGTAAAACTGTTCTGCAGATCTCTACCCAAAAAGCAAAAGTTTTGCAAATATCAAGTTTTAATACGGTTTCGCTGCTACTATGACTTCTCGAACTTTATGCGCACTCAGTTCAGGGCACATCATTGTTGGGGATTCCCCAACAGGGGTCGTATTTGGTCGCTGGAGGGAAGGGGGTCGTATTTGGCCTTAGGGTTTCATAATAGTTTATTTTTCTTGTTTCGGGACGCTACAAGGGGGGAGTCGTATTTACTTGTTGTTGGAAGAGCGGGGAGGTCCTATTTGCATTCTGGGAGAAATTTGCGGCGTTTAGAGAAATTTTTCCGGTTCTTGTCTTTTTGCGGTTTTCCTGTTTCACATGTGCTATATACCTCCGCTTGATGACAGCAGAATTTTAGAGGAAAAAGTAGGAAAATTTTTAGAAATTTCGAAAAAACTGGAAGGAAGACTAGAGGACCCCACTTTGCTATACTACTGTACTCCCCCCCCGCCTCCCTTGGCAGGTAGGTCGTACCAGAGGAGGAATCTAGTTGGGGAAGAGGTCGTATCAAGCCACTCTTCGGGGGGGGGGTTGCCGTACGGATCATATCCCTAACTAATGATGTGCTCTGTTACAGTTACTCTTACTTGTGATTTTAGGAAACACGCAACTTGCCCTTACCCTAGTATAAACCCTCAGCAAAAACCGCGATTTCAAGTGGAGCTCAAAGATGGGGCGCATTCAACGGAGTTTGCTTCGTGGAAGACCCACCTCCCACGAAGCAAACTCAGATGAATGCGCCACATCTTTTCACGTTTCCTCTGTTCTGTTGAACTCGAAAAGGATGACTACTCATGTATGTAAGTATACTCCTTATCCCTGAGTCAGAGTAGGCGTGGCATGTGAACATGGCGCGGAAATGGTTACTCGTGGACTATTCCAATCTGGGACAACTGCGATCTTGTTCTGTGTTGGACAGGGACACGATCACGATTTTGTCAAGATGAAAATATCTCACTGGAAGCATGGATGCCTTCAGATTCAGTTGAAACATGTGGCTACGCCTACCCTATCTCAGGGATTTCGAGAATATCTGCGCGCGCAAACCGGCCATGCTTTCTCTCTAGGTACCTTCCATCTATAAACCTCTGAGCTTTCAGTCGCTACAACTTATCTGATCAATTGTGTTCCTCAAAATCATCCCACTCACTTTAAAAAGGCTGAATCTGAGCAATGTTTAGGAATCTTATTGTTATTGGTATTTCGCTAGCTGTACTTGGTGTTGCTGCTGGCGCTCTTTACATTCCCACGTTTCAAAGTTGTTTGGATGCTGTTAAGTGAGTTTCTTTGTTTGATTCTGCTCAAAATTCCAATGAGGTTCGTCAAGCGACCCAATAAAGAGGCTTGTCGCTGCGAGTGCTGTAGTTGATAGGGCTCCAGAGTTGTGAGATCTGGGTTCAAGCCCTGGCTGATGTAAAGTCCAGTTTCTTATATTGAAACCAGACTTACGTTTCCCGGAGCCCAGCTTCCTCAGCTTAATACCAGATTTCAGTTTCCCTACGAGCAATCTTCAGTGAAAACACTCTGTTTTCAGAGAGCACGGATACGATGATTCTTTCCGAACTTACGGTTGTGTATCGGGTGTTTTTCAGTCTGCCTTTGCCCTGGGGTAGGTTATATGTACATCTTCAACTCAGAGATGTCCAATGATTCTTCGAAAGAATGAACTATCGTTTAGCGGATTCATGGGTCCCACTGTGGGTGGGTTTGCGGTTGAAAAAATCGGGTTCGCTTGGACTACTACGATTATCGGTGCTATACATGTTATGTTTGTGAGTTTATTTATTTTTTTGACAAAGATAATGAACGGAGACATCACAGCTGTTATTGTTGGACGATTTGACGGTCCAGTACTGAACCTTTCGAAGCGGCCAATCAATGCCTATCTTTCACATTTTGTTATGGGTGGAGGTAGTTGTGGTGTTGGTTCAGTTGTTTAATCCTCCCAGGTCCAATAACCGATTTGAGGGATTGGAAGTGTGAGCAGGCCTTTGTAGGACATTGCAGAACAGTGATTCCTTTTTATCCCTTGCTGCCTTGATCGCCTTTGAGCAGTGCCGACGAACAAGTTCGCAGTAGGGATCCAATAGGTATTCGTTCTGCACAATTATTTAGATGTCACAGCTAAAAAGAGGTGATGGGCTTTTATACGGTGTAGTCGGTAGGTTGTCTTCGAGTAACATCAATGCCTGAAGCCTGATGTGGAGGGGCCAGCCGCAGCATTTGCCCTTCATTGACTGGTTCATTGTGCTTCAAACTCTCGGAGCTCTGGTTTTGCTTTCTGTAGATAACAAATAATTAATAAAAGTCACCGGAACTCGTTTTCCACCAATCTGCTCGCATAGCCGCTTCAACAGTAGTTGAAGAACGGGCTGGCGCTGCGCCAACCCCAGGCCCCTGACACGTCCAGGACCTGCAGCAAGCAAACCTGTAACCCTACAGCGCCGAACAGTAACTCCTGAAGGGCTGTCGATCCTGTAGGATAGCCATGAAGATTCTGAACCTTTGAAAATTCTTCTATGCGTGCGGCTTGATGCAGTTCTCTCTCACGGAGAGGTAAATGATCATAAAGAGTGAATGTTTTGAGTACTTTCAGATAATAACCGTGTGCATCTTCTATAGTCCTTGCTGCAGGAGAGGTACATCACAACGTAGCACTTAAGTGTACAACATCAGTATCGGTATTGTGATAATATACTGTATGATTTCCATTTTGCTTTACTTTAATTTCACTTGACATATTGACATTCTTATCATGCCTGGTCAGTTGTGATAGCTTTGATTTTTTCTCTTGTAAAATATTTTTTGAATGAAGATTTTATATTTTTTACTAATTGTAGAGTAATTCAGTACAACAGACTATGTATTTAGTTCCCATACAGGCTTTCAGAGGAGAAAACTGTTTCTTTGTTATATATTCTGACTAATGCTAGCTTTGTTTGTGAAAAAATACTTGAAACGAAGGGATGGGATTTTCCAGTTGTTGAAAATACTTGAAGGTTTAAGTGTCATATGGAACGAAGGAAGCAGACCTACTTCGAAGTAGTAGCGCGTAGAGCGACTATTGCTTGACATTGATTGACATTGACAAGCATGATACACGGTAGAAACAGGGACCCAATCTGATCAGGAAAGTCTCTACTACTAATTTTCTAAAGTCAGGTAACCGGTGTATCCTCGTTCGATAAGATAAAACTACTACAGGTACGTCGTCTACCCCGCTGCTACTCACAATAGGTAAGGAAAAGTCATTCACAGCCACCACTAGCTTCCGAACGTCCGGCAGCGTCAATGGTTAGGAAAGTATGAGCATCGATCCAGCGAGTGCTAGCATCTGCTGGCGTTCACTAGCGTTTGCCAGCGTCTCGTGGGCTAGGGGAGTATAGGTACCGTCTGGCGGCTGTTGGCTCTACCAGCGTTCACCAGCGACCAGGAGTAGAGAGTATGGGGAAATAGGAAAATAGCAAACATCTGGGAGACGCTATACTTCCCTAGCCCTCGATACGCTGGTGGGCGCTAGCAAAAGCAGGTATACGCTGGCAGGCGCTAGATCGATATCCATCTCCTGTCGCTGGCGCTGGCGGACGCTCGGAACGCTAGCGGTCGCTGGTGGACGCTGGTAGGCGAAAGTATGAACCAGCCTGAGAGGAAGGCTCTGAACTGACTATTATCACCTTGCTGCGCCACGCTCTCTGGTTATATTCAGATACATAGTGGCTCTTCCAATGCGATATGGCCTACATAGTAACTTGTGGGAGTTTGCCATTAAGAAAGTCAATCCCCTGTCAGGCGAGTCTGGTACCAATTTGCCAGGTAACAAAGGATGGGAAGATGGTCCTGATGGATCCAACCTGGAAACTGAGTCGTAGCTGCTCGTGTTGCGGACGGTGCTTGTTCTTTGTGAGTACATGCTTGGAAATTATTCATTCCCCTGTGAGTGAACTAGCATACTGTTCGTAAGACATACACGCATAACAAGTTACAAAGTACATTTACTTCCAGGCATTGGCACGAGTTTCATCAGAATGTCAATTTTAATGAACGAATCATCTTAGCAAACTTAATGAGACAACTACAATAAACTAAATGTCAATATTTCAATAAAATTGAACAGGGAATCAGTGATATGGTAAAAATCGCAAAAAATGGGCAGAATTGACCTAGGAACTTCCACTGCTTTTGCGCCGTTCGGTATCGCTCTTCTCGGTACCTGCCCAAAGAGGTGCGCCAAGCGCTTGGGATATGTGATCACCATGCGAGAAGTCGTATCGTTTTTCTAGTGGTTGACTCAGATCAGTTTCACTGAAAAGAAAGAAAGAGCTCCTGCTGTGTTCAGTTTAACCCTTTTGAGGCTGTAGATCATGACATTAACTGATTGTAGAGGTCAGCAGAGTACATTTTGAAGTAGCATTCATGTTCACGGTAACTTAAAGACAGCTCCCGCGATAAAAGTGTCAAGAATAATTGCTGACCAATTATGAAACAGTAGCTGATAAGTAATTCTTGAACGAAGGAGAAAACCAAGAACAGCCCACAAGAACACCACGAACAAAATTGCTCCCTTACAGTTAGACCGCCCTGCGGTCCGTGGGCAACCCCTGGCTCACAAATCCCTTTATGGTATTTCCCAGTAGTGGACAACATCCAATTCAAAAAAGAATATAAAAAACAACAAAGACTCGAACAAAAACCTTTTGGAAAAAGGAAAAATTCAAAAACCTGGCGTTCGAATTTGGGGTTACGTGAAGGGTACATCTTTTGATGCATGTGGAGCTTTTGCACCAAAGAAATTGCACCATTCGTGATTTTTACGCATTTTACCCTACGAGATGGGTTGCAGTTGATTGTATGTGTTCCCAATGAATAAAATGTGATGAAGGAGAGAAGAATTATTTATGGGCACGAGTGCGGTCAGCAAAAAGTATTACATGCAGTTCCGATTGATGCCCGCCGTCCCAACAAAGAACATTGAGCGACTCTCCGTCAGAGGACAGTTAGCAAGTGGGGCGGTCCAACTGGGTGGGCGCTAGAATTAGAACTTTGAGCGGCTGGCTCGCTCCTCGCTCACTGTGAAGTCGCGAGAGGACAGTATCTAGCCTGGGGGCTGAACTACCTGCACAAGGAAGGGCGATCATGTGCTACTTGAGCGCGGGAGCTATCTTTAAAGGTAAGTGGCTCGATAAAACCCCAACACCTCTAGGATTGAAACGCCTATGAAGACACAGGATGGTCGACGCCTCTGAGCAAGCGCCGCGTGGCGCCTTCTCCAAGCATGGCACCCTTATAGCGCCCTATCAAGCTGCAACACGCCAACCCGGACGCCCTTCGCGCCCTCCTGTACACAAAAATCCAGCCGATGCTGATGCTCGCGTCGCTTCATTTGGAAGCACAGCATGAAGCGAAGGGGTTGATATCAAGCGGTTGCTGTGCAGCATAGATAGGTGAGTACATACATACATGCTGTCTTATCTACCGTAGTGGTTCTTGGCACTATGGCGACGGAAAAATGGTCCAAAACTGCTTTCTCAGTCATTTAAAACAAAGACTTTTTTGCAGGCTTATGACCGTTCCACTTAGCTTTTTCGCCATTTCCCCACTTCATGGCATTCCTGCTGTCATTTTAGACCGAGTACCAAATTATCGTGCCTTATGGCTTTAATTATATCTAGGTAATGTCCCCTTCAACGGTCCTCATCCTTGCCATGTGCGAGGTGACCGGATCCACAGCTGTAAAAATATGCCTATTTCGTCAGTCGAATGCGCGCAGAAATGAGACTCAGGATAGTGGTGACGTTTCGGACTCCACAGACAGGCCAGGAAAATGCCATCGACCGGCCACACTCCTGACTAAAACCGAGCGCTGCTTTCTCACAATTGATTGCTCTCTGCATGTCCACGAATTCGCTAACTAGTCCGATAACAGGCATGCTTACGATGTTGGCTGCGAGATCTCAGAATCGACTCGTGTGTCATAGATATTATAATCAACAGCTCATAAATACCAATTAGGCTTTGCTTCCGGGCCTAGCCGGTCTCTCACCGTTCTTTTCCATACATCTTGTACTTGAGGTGCCGGTGTGGCTCGCGAGATCAGTGGTGACAATCGTAGTGATCACGTCGTGACCTACCGCGTTGGGTATCGACTGTATCGACTCTGGCGCCCAAAAAGGGCGGGAAATGTCGACGCAGGCCACTCCGGCAGTTTTTCCTCGAGCTTGCACACGCTCACGGTCTCCACCTTCTAGAACCATCGTCGCTGACGCCCTGGGCGCCAGCTATGGTTCTCTTCTTCTCCGACCCTCGAGTTGCAGTGCAACCAGGGTCCACTCTTCTTCTTTCTACCTGCTGAATCTGCAAGAATTGTCCAGTAGATTTCTGGCACAAATCTTCCTGTTGCAGATGAGCCGCTCGAGGTCGGCCTCAAGGTCCAGCCGCAGCAGCTCCGACTCGGACCACTCTTCCGCCTCTTCGAACTCGCAGGACAGGAGAGTGGCCGGCAACTCTCGGTCGAGGTCAACGTCTCGTGAGAGGAGCGTTGACAAGGGGAGCGGCAGAAGCTACAGATCACCCCTAGCTCCTCCGGTGCCGGATATCCGCATTCCGAGAAAGGATGAGTTTCGTTCAGCCAAAGACGAGGTACCAGCGCCTCCAGCAGTGCCGCAGAAGACACTCCGGGTAAGGGTGTCTATTTCGGAGGTGAGTAATTGGCTTAAACAGTCTCTTGAGACTTTGTGGTGCCTCGAACTTATATTTGCGCAATTTCAGCAGGCACGACAGCGTTTCCACTCCTTCGCAGCAGGAATGCCTTTGAGCCATGCCGAGAGATCTACCTTGCTTTGAGAGCTGCCGCTTGTTGCCTCTAAACTTGGGGAGGTACCAGCGATCGACGAACAGCTCCCGCGAGACAACGACCGTGCCATCCTCATACACGAACCAGAATTCGCACTTTACACGAGACATTGCTGAATGTTCTCAACATAGTGGAGCTGATCCGAAAACTGGGCTCACTGATGGACCTAATTATACTTCGCAGACAGCGGTTCCTCAAAGCACTGGGAGTTGAACCGAGGAGAGCGATGCCTTCGTATCGCAGACTACCACTAGCGGGCTCAACTATGGTGCATCACGTGCGTCAGACACTGATCCCGGACCTGTTCGGGAAGGAACTGCGCGATGAATAAGCCTCAGCAGACTCCGCCATAACAAAATCCTTGCAGAAACTGAGAGCACAGAGCGCCAAGAAGAGAAAGGCCACACCACCGCGTCACTCGAAGGACAGGTTTCCCTTCAGACGTTTCTATCTCTCAATTGTCGCTTGTTTCGATTTCCGATAGAGAGTCGGTTAAGGGTAGCGCTGTAGCACTTAGTCCTCATACTGGTCGCATAGCGGGTAGGCTAGCCGACTTCCTAGAAGCATGGTGGACGATCTCGTCAGATCCCTTCATATTAGAAACCACAAAGGGGTACCGGATCCCTTTTGGTAGTACTAAACCTTGCCTTTCACTTCCATTGGGGCAGATTCTAGCGACTCCCGCCAATCTTGCGGACTAGTTATCTCAACTTAGGAAAAAGGGCGTTATAGAGAAGGCTCCCCTTAACTCTGGAGTTTGGGTCTCTTCAATGTTTGGTATTTCCAAGAAGGATGGCTCCACAAGACCCATAATGAATCTGAGGCCTCTCAATTCCTACCTTGATATCTCCCATTTCAAAATGGACATTCTGCACACGGTAGCAGACGTGGCTTTCAAAGGGGATTTCTGTGCCAAAATCGATATGCGCGATGCTTATTTCGCAATAAACACATCTATAGAACACAGAAATTACCTGGCGTTTTGGTGGGACCAGACTCTGTACAGATTCACCTGCTTACCATTCGGGTTGGCAACGGCCCCTTATGTATACACCAAGCCAATGCGAGTAGTGGCCGCGCATTTTCGTGCGCGCGGCATAAGAGTTATCAACTACTTGATGACTAGGCCTTTTTTGCGGACACGGAGAGTGAGTGTCGCCAACAGGTTGCTTACGCCATTCAGTTTTTCGAGTACTTGGGTCTCTCCATAAATTTACCCAAATCTCGATTGATCCCTTGCCAAGAGTTTGAATTCTTATTCTTGATCATAGATACAAGGAGAGGAGAGTTTAGAATACCTCCCAGCAAGCTTGAGCAAATCCAGACGGAAGCCTCGTCTCTAGTTCAGAAAAGAGTTATATCGGCGAGAGAACTCTCGGCGTTTCTAGGACGCGTCAACTTCGCAGCAATGGCCTTCCCCTATTCTACCCATATGACGCGGCGTCTGCAGCGCGAGCTGGCCAATAAGACAAATCCGTTTATCAAAGAGTCATTCAACAATACAATAGCACTAGAAGAAGAAACTAATGAGGACCTTCTCTGGTTCCGCGATAATCTCAGTGCTTACGCCAGTCACCCATTCACTCACTTCTCTCCTGATACCTCTATAGTGACGGATGCCTCCAAGAGAGGTTGGGGAGCGGTTTGTAATGGTAGGCGCACAGGGGAAGATGGTCCGAGCAAGAGGCAACTTGCCATCAACGTGCTAGAACTCCTGGCAGCCCTATTTGGATTACAGTCCTTCGGAGACAAATGGAGGAACATTAGCGTGCTCCTAGAGATGGACAATACAACGGCTATTGCCTATCTGAAGCGTAGGGGTGGCACGACAAGCGGCGGACTGTCCCAGATAGCGCAAAGAATATGGTCTTGGTGTTTGACAGAGATATACGCATCCTCGCAACCATAGGCCGGAAAGGGAAAATCAAGAAGCTGATTTAGAATCCAGAGTGTTCGCCAGGAGATCTGTGAATGGTCCCTAGACAACCTTTCAACACAACAAATATTTTCACTCTTCGGCAGACCTATGACCTTTTTGCCTCAAGACTCAATCACAATGGATATTTACTACTCATTGAATCCTGACCCAGGTGCGTCAAAGGTAGACGCTTTCGCGCACAACTGGTCGGGGATCTTCGGATTCGCCTTTCCACCGTGCAACCTGATCGGACGAGTTCTCCGGAAGGCAGTCAGAGACGGTGCAACGTTGATTCTCGTCACTCCTCTCTGGAGAAGCCAGACTTGGTTTCCTCTGCTTTTGAGACACGCAGTGGAACAACCGGTCTGGCTGAAATGCAGCGCACGTCCGCTCCTGTCCAATGCTCAAGGACAAGGACATCCTCTGCTAGCACAGAAGAACTTCGCGTTGCTAGCCTGGAGGAACTCGCCAAATCTTGGGCCGCTGCGGGATGCAACCAGCAGACGGTTGATACTATCCTGGCCAGCTGGGCTCCAAATACTAGACGGCAGTATGCCTCTCTGAATAAGTGGCACATCTACCTCACACAGGTAGGAACCGAACAAGCTGCTGCTAACCACATAACCCTCTGTAATTTTCCAGCCTCGCTGGCGGATATGGGAATGAGCTATTCATCTGTTGCATCTCATAAGGCGGCTGTTGCCACTATCTCAGACTTGCTGTTTGGGACCTCCTGGGGAGAAGATCCCCTCGTGGTGAGATTCATGAAAGGCCTCTTCCGTGCCAACCCTCCGAAGGCCAAATATTCCTCTACGTGGGACGTAGACAAGGTCTTAAGCTACATAATAAATCTCGGTGAAAATTCACTGCTGTCCCTAAAGCAGCTTACCCTCAAGCTCACTATCTTACTTGCTCTGTGTTCCCCTAAGCGGGTGTCAGAGATAGCTTCCTTTTCCCTGGGGAGCCTCCAGAGGAGCGCTCATCGCTGGGTGTTCTTTATCGACTATCGAAACAAAAACCGCAGGTACGGTCCACCCCAGTCAGCCGTGTACGAGGCATACGAAGACAACAGTCTCCTCTGTCCTGTCGAGACCTTACAGCAATACCTCGCAGCAACGGAAGCATTCCGCGGTCGGGAGAAGGCACTCTTACTCTCTTACGCTTCACCTCACAGACCAATCTCCGCGGCCACCGTAGCTAGGTGGATTAAGACGGTACTAGTTGAAGCCGGGGTAGGAGGTGACTTCTCAGCTCATTCAACACGCTCCGCAGGCACATCCAAAGCATACAACCACGGCGTGTCCTTAGAGACAATAATGAAAGCGGCCGCGTGGGCTCCAGGGAGTTCAACCTTTCGCAATTTCTACCAGAGAGAGCCTTTGCGAGACTCCTATCAGAAATCGATCCTAAGGTGATTTGAACGAGCCTAATTGGTATTTATGAGCTGTTGATTATAATATAATATTATGCGAAACGTAGTTGCAGTATAATATTTATTATGATCTACAGCGAATAAATACCAAACACCCTCCCTTCCCACCCGATCGATTTCTTCATTTGCATTCCTGTTGCAGAGGCAGCAGCACCAAGGAAACCTACGCGGCGAGCGAAAGAGCAGCACACGCGAGACGAAGGAGATCTCCGGAAGCAAGGGAGAAGCCCTCGACACCTCGCCTTAACGCAAGAAACCAAAAAATAAGATTCGAGGGACCACCCTCAGAATATGAAATAACTTGTTGCTCGTTTCTGTTAGAAGTTGATACTAATAAAAATGAAGCGGTTCAATCCGCGTGGCGCATTCTCCCTCAGCAAACTGGAGAAAAACTGCCGGAGTGGCCTCGCGTCGACATTTCCCGCCCTTTTTGGGCCCCAGAGTCGAACAGTCGATAACCAACGCGGTAGGTCACGACATGATCACTACGATCGTCACCACTGATCTCGCGAGCCACACCGGCACCTCAAGTACAAGATGTATGGAAAAGAACGGTGAGAGACCGGCTAGGCTCGGAAGCAAAGCCTAATTGGTATTTATTCGCTGTAGATCATAATAAATATTATACAGCAACTACGTTTCGCATAATATTATATGTGTAGAGAGGGGGCGGGGTCCAAAACAGCATCCAACTGTCATGACCCTACAGCTTGATTTCCGCGCATTTTCGAGTAGAGAAAGTGACACATTTCGACGGCTACGGACCTGTCCACGTACTACATGGCAGGGTGGGCGTACAGTGTGTCTCTCGAAATACATCCACCTGGCGCGGTGACAGGTTTGTCACGTATTTTTGTAGTAAGCGCCAATTTGTGCAACACTTTGGACGGACTATCTTTGCATGATCGAGAATCTGGACTAGTGACGTTTGAGTGCAAGCTGTTCAGAAAATATTCTGCAAGATTCGAAGACAACATGGGTCTTTTTTCTTCAGCATTTCCCAGTGATACCTACCACTTCATGATATTTTTTGAACATTGTCGGAAAAAAACGCGGTTGATCCGCTCAGTTACAATTAACGATGTCTCTGACGTTCATTATGCGCAAACAAATGATGTGTGAGGGCGTCGAGCTCGAAGGTTATGCAGTAACTGAAGTAAGGTAGGCGCACCTCAGTTACAGGCAAACTGTACACTCACCTTCTCCGACGGTCCTTGCAATGTGCGAGACGAATCGGTCCGCATCTGCAATAGCAGGCCACGTTCTCCCCTCGAAAAGGCACTGGAAAGGGGCTGGAGGTCACTGGTACACACGTGCCGTCTTCATACTCCACCCGCGCCATTTTCAAGGGGCAGCATTTGCGTCGATGCCAAGGTCTCCCAGCAAAACACGTACTCAGTGGTAGAGAACAGCCAGAAGTGATAGTGTACAGACAAGAAGCGCGCCTGGCTGGCCGAGAAACGCGAGCAGAGTATGGAGACGTCATTCAGCAGCCAGCAGTACCCACCAGCCCCACTTCCGTGTACTTCTAACCGGAGAACCGGTTACTGCAGCTGCGAAGCCATTCTCCCCACGGTAAGGACCACAGTACACATAGGTATAGGTACAGTCTGTCCTTGAGAATTTAGGCACCTTTGGCAGCTCGCCAGCAACCACTCGCAAGAGCGAAGCTTGCCCACAGTGGATCATGCACCCAGGCTGAGCGAGCTTGTACGGGAAAAGAAGTGAAGAAACACTGCTCGGAATGCTAACAAGTTCTTGGCGGTTATATTGTGTTCCAGACGTTTATCAAATGTAAATAGAGCGCTTCAGTGTCAAGGTTGAACAATATACTCTACATGCATGGAAGAAAAAGTTCAGTAATCAAAATGCCTATGAGTGAAAGCCTCCTTTGCAATGGACGCAGCCGAAACAACCGATTCCCGAGAGCTACTGAAACTTATGGAATCGGAAGGTTCCATCGGATGAACGGGATCACATGGATCTTCCTCAGCTACTGGAGCTCGACGCCCAGCTCCGAATCTAGCGAGAAACTGTCTTCGCATTTCGTCCTCGATATCGCCTCTCTCATCACGCCTCACGTTCCCTATCATTTGCACTCCAAGATTCGTTCTTGGTTGCACGATGTGCTGAGGTGTGGGAGTAGTCTGATCTGGAGTCCCACTTCGTGGTGTCGTATGCTCACTGTGGGAGACGCTGAAGCTCAGTTGACCAGTTTGAAGCTGCTGGGATGGTTCATTTCTCGAGCGGTCATCATCGTCTCCAGGAATAGGGCTCGGAGAGTTATCGTAAGTGGGAATTCCCATGTAATGTCCTGCAACTGGGCCTCTTCCTGAGAAGAACAGTGGGGAATCGCCAGGAGCATGCTCTCTTTCACCAGGATAGTACATTTGCGCATACGAGTGACGTGTTTCCTCTTCATCGCTGTCGTCTTCCTCGAAATATCCGCTTGCTGAGCGAGGGAAAGTATGAACATCCATTCCTATGTTGGTTCCCATGTGGGGATAGAACTGCGGATAGGATCCAGTGAACATTTCAGTAGCCTGTACACCAGTGGAACGAGTTTCAGGGAATCGCGTGTGCTGAGGGAAGAGCATGGGGCTGCGATTCTGCTCCAGATCACAGTTTGAAATCTGCGAACCTCTACTCTCAAATCCTCGTTGCTCCGCTGGGCTAATTGGCGGATATCCAGCAGCATAGTCATCGCTCTCTACCACTTCATCTCTAGGCAACATCATGGACTGCCTAAGAGTTCCAAAGATCATTTGGTCATCGTCCTGAGGACTACATAAGTCGCTCAGTTGTTCGTCTTCAGGTTCATTCTGCTGGGGATAGGATGCCCGACGATGCCGACTGACGGGGGGATGTTTCACTAGCTCGTCATCACTCATTATGGCTGCATCTTCTTCACTTGACGACATCTCATTTCGCTCAATCTCATGCAACTGAACGCGATCGCTGAACGTAACGCTCTTATGTGAGGAAAACGACACTCGCGATGATTCACTCATAGTGGAACCCCTTCGGATGTCATCTGTCGCGACTCCCTTACTTCTGTGCCTCGGACGTTTTTGGCGCGGATCAATGTTCAGGGCCATCAAATTATTTCGTGACGTCTCCGACTGAATGGGCTGGGACGACGGTCTTTTTGCAGAAGGATTGGAGGTGGTCAAAGGACTGGCAGATCTCTCTTTTTGAACAGAGCCATTCCTTGGACGATCGGTGGGAGGAGAACGGTGCTGGGCCTCTTTTGCAGGAGCTACTTTCTTATTCATTTTACCAGGTTCGCCTTTAGGTAAGAGCTCTACTGACTCTCGCCTTTGTTCCGCACTTCCGTCCAGTTCAATTTTTTCTGCACTATCGCGTGAAGGTGACTCTGCCGATTCCTGTTGGTTGGCTTTTCCATATGATTGTTCCGTGGTCTTCATTTTGGCACCACGTTTACTTTGAATTTGATCTGTCGATGCTGGCCGATTAGGTACTGCGTTCCTGTCCCTCAAAGCTTCCGCTGACTTGTTTGGCTGGTCTGAAGTCGCACTTTTTTCCGCCGTCTTCGAAGTGGTGTCGTGTTGATCGCTGTCGTTGGTCGGGATTTTGACGTCATCCTTCTTCGGTTTGGGGTCGTCCTTCTTTATTTTAACGTCATCCTTTTTTGCTGAAGGATCCATGTCGAAATCTCTAGCGCTAAAGTCGTTTATCGCATTAGGATCACCCTCAGACAAAGGACTAGCGCCTGTTTCGTTTGCCTGAGATCGTTCTGTTGGTGGCCGATTCTTATCAGCGGAAATCGATGGTTTCAAGCGATTTGCTATGGCTTTCTTCAGCAGTGAATTCGTTGCTCCTCCAGCGCTTTGCGATCTCATCTCTCTCCATGTCGGTGGTGGTCGTGTCACGTCGCTCAGCGAGCCTGGAACCCACAAGATGCAAATAATTCTCACTTTAACAATTTTAAGGATCCTAATCACTGGGGATGGTCCTCAGCTCGAAGTGGCCTTTGTAATGAGACATAGTCGTGACGACAATGTCGTCCTCCAGAGAGACACCACAAAAGACAGAAAGACATTTCTGAATTACAGAAGAAATGAATTCATTTCGTTACTCTTATTCTGATTGATGTAGAGCCATTGTAACTTTAATTATAGCTAATCGATGAGCGATTAAGGCAATGTTGACAAGAAAAGCATTGGAGGTCGGATGGACAAAAAGGAGATGGTGCTTAAGCGCGAGATGGCCCAGCTAAGATATTGGCGGCTCGTCACGTCTTCGGTACAGTGTTCTGACATTTCCTCCGACTCGAAGGTCTCCTATATTCTTTCCGCTCTATATTCGCTCCTCTTCTATCTGGTGAGACTCAATAAGTCCTCATCATTGCGGACCGGTGGGGCGTGTCAGCCAGAAGGAGTGCGCACACTGTTGAAGCCGTTCTCAGCCTTTTTGTTGATACGCGTATGCGACAAAAAAGGTAGAAAACGAGTAATACGAAGGGTTCAACACAGTAATGCTTTTGCGCGCTACAAAAACTGGTGCAGAACGACTCTGCCAAACCGCACCAGACGCAGCCGCACTGCCACGTCCCACCGGTAAGCAATGATGAGGCCTGTACACTAATTTCGGTGCCCTCAGATTGTGTGCCTCATTGCTCTTGCCTTAATATCACTCTGCTTATTCCCATCTATTCCTTGTTTAGCACATCCGTTTTCATATCGCTTACAAAGCCTATAATTTATGCATATTATTTACTAGTAATAACTTAGTTTAGTATATTGAGATGAAGTTTAATTACGCAAGTTTGAGAAGACAATGTACCTAGACCGCAAGACGTGTTTTTTGACGCTGATCTCAAATCTACCTCCAACTTGCGGAGCTATTTTCTGAACAGAGTTAAGAAGGTCTGTTCGGAATAAGGGACACACAGTCAAGCGCGATTGCCATGCATGAATTCGCGATGCAATGCCATATGTAAGAGCGTCGCCTTCAGAGTCG